AGCACATCATGAATTCCCCTTTGCGGGATTTTCCTTATTTTTTCTAACACATTCTCCCACTCGGGTACAATTTTGTTATCAAGAAATGCTCCCAAGACTTTGAGTGCGAAAGGCAGACCTTGAGCATATTGTATGACACGACTCGAAAGATTGTCATAATCTCTGGTGGGTTGGTTTGTTCTGAAGGCGTACTGCCTAAAGAGTTTCAAAGCTCCAAGATCACTCAAAACATTAGGCCTATATACAGCATCAGCTAATCTTAGTAAATGCCCCACTCTAGTTGTTATAATGATTCTACTTCCACCATAAAAGGAATGTTGCCCTCCAAGTAAAGCTTCAATTTGATCTAATCTGTCCACATCATCCAGAACAATAAGAACTTTTCTCTGACCTAGGCTATTTAACATCACCTGGAAACCTTTCTTCGAAATGTCGGAACTCTCCACCTTGTTGTTCGAGATACTAGATAGAAGTTCTGCCTGCATATGTAGTGTGCCTTGCTTCATGAAACCTTCCCTGATATTTTCAAGGAAGCAACTAGCTTCAAATTGACATGAGATTTCATCATAAACAGCTCTAGCGATGGTTGTTTTGCCTAAACCACCCATACCCCATATTCCAACAATGCGAACATCATTCGTTTTAAATCCAGGATGATTTAATAATACACGCATTTCAAGCATATGAGAATCCATTTCAACCAAGTCATTATCTTTGCTTGATGTTGATGAGATGTGGATCAATTTTCTAGAAACATCTTCCACAATCTCCTCAATAAGCTTCGCATCATCCCTGTCACGTTTAATAAACAATATAATAACAACACCGAATAACAATTAATGGGTCCTTTTGGTAATTATCTCGTTTTAAATTTTTTTTAAAAAAAGAAAATCTAGATTTTGAGTTTTCAAATTTTGGGTTTTCAATTTTTAGTTTCACTCAAAATAGTTATCAAACAAGTTTTTCAATTTTTCTTTCATGGTATAATACAGTTCCAAAAATCAACAATTAGATCTTGCAATATAGGAATCTAATGGATCTTTAAAAAATCTCAAAAAATAATAGGAAATTAAAACAGTTTAGAATTTACCCAAAGTCTCCCGAAACCCAGCCGGGTAGATGGGGGGTCGTTCTAAGAGCGTGTCTCCAGCTCCGAACCATTTCCACTTCGGCATTAGAATCGAGATCATGCTGAGCAAAAGCTTCCGCAAAACTTCTCTTGAGTCCACGAACATCAGATGGATTAACTTGGTAGAAAATGGGGAGCACAATCTGGTTCTTGGTGTTCTTGGATTTCCATATTTCCACGAGTTCTTTCAAGCTCCAAGTGGAAGAAGCATAGTTTTCAGATAAAACTAGAAGCGAAATCTTTGACTCTTGAACGGCAATCAGGAGCTTGGTAAGGGGGTCGCCTCTTCTGAGCTCTTTGGCATCAATGTAGGTGTTGATTGATTTCTGACACAGAGCTTTGTAAACATGGCTGACGAAGCCCCTGCGAGTGTCTTCCCCTCTGAAATTGATGAACACATCGTATTTGCTTAATGTTGATGAGAATTGCATCAATTTCGTAAAAACATCTTCTACAATTTCCTCAATAAGCTCTGCATCATCCCTGTCAAAATTAAAATCAATATAATAACAACACCAAATAATAATTATTGGGGCGTTTTGATAACTATTTTGTTTTTAAATTTTTTTGGATCTAAATTTTTAGTTTCATTGAGAGTAGATTTTAAATAGGTTTTCCATTTTTTTCTTTCATGATATATAATAGTCTGAAAAACCAACAATAGATCTTGCATATGGAGATCTAATGAATTTTTCATCCGTTTTGCACAAATTTAAAACAAAATATTTATGCCTAAACATTACAAAAATCTCAAAAATTAATAGGAAACTAAAACAAATTAGAATTTACTTATAGTTTCGCGGGTCCCAGCCGGAAAAATTGGTGGCCGTTGTAAGAGCGGATCTCCGACCTAGTTTGGGAGTGAGGTGCTTAAAAAAAAAGCACCTATGAAAAAAAACTGTTAGGGTTTTAGGTGTTTGGTAAACTGAAAAAAAAGGCTTATTTTGGAAGCTGCTGTGAGAATAAACTGAAATCAAAGGAAAAAGCTGAAGCTGCTATTTGCAGCTTTGGAAAACTGGCTTTTTTTCAAAGCACATGGGGCTACAGTGCTCCTTTAATGAAAAGACCCACTATCAGACTGTTTTTTTTTTCAAAAGCACTTTTACAAAAAAATTTACCAAACGCTCTGCTGATTTATTTCACAGTCGCTTATTCTCACAGCAGCTTTTTTTCAAAGCACAGCAATACCAAACCAGCCCTCCATCTCCCAACCTCTAACATTTTGGAGTTAGAATCGTGCTTATGCTGAGACAAATCTTTGGCGAAAGTTCCCTCGACTTCACGAACGTTAGCCTGATCAACTTGGTAGAAAATGGGGACCACAATCTGGTTCTTAGTATCTCTGCATTCCAAGATTTCCATGAGTTCTTTCAAGCAGCAAGTGGAACGAGCATAGTTTCGAGAGAAAACTACAAGCGAAAGACTTGACTCTCGAATCACCGTCAGGAGCTCGGGAAGGCGGTCGCCTTTTCGGAGCTTCTCAGCATCAATGAAGGTGTTGATCTGTTTCTGCAGCAGGGCTCCTTCGAGATGGCTGATGAAGCCTTTGTCAATGTCTTCCTCTCTGAAATTGATGAACACGTCATATTTGCTTGATGTTGATGAGAATTGCATCAATTTCGTATAAACATCTTCTACAATTTTCTCAATAAGCTCTGCTTCATTCCTGTCAAAATTAAAAACAATATAATAAAAACACCAAATAATAATTATTGGGTCGTTTTGATACTATTTTGTTTTTAATTTTTTTTAATCTAAATTTTTAGTTTTCAAATGTTGGCCTCTAGTTTTTAATTTTTAGTTTCATAGAAAGTAGATTGTAAATGGGTTTTCCATTTTTTTCCTTCATGATATATAATAGTCTCAAAAAGCAACAATAGATCTTGCATACAGAGATCTAATGAACTTTTACAACCGTTTTGCATAAATTTAAAACAAAATATTTATGCCTAAACATTACAAAAATCTCAAAAATTAATAGGAAACTAAAACAAATTAGAATTTACTTATAGTTTCGCGGATCCCCCAAGCCGGAAATATTGGTGGCCGTTGTAAGAGCGGATCTCCAGCTCTCAACCTCTAGCATTTTGGATTTAGAATAGAGGTTAGAATCGTGATCATGCTGAACAAAAGCTTTGGCGAAAGTTCCCTTGAGTTTACGAACGGTAGCCGGATCAACTTGGTAGAAAATGGGGACCACAATCTGGTTCTTAGTATAGCTGCGTTCCAAGATTTCCACGAGTTCTTTCAAGCAGCAAGTGGAAAGAGCATAGTTTTGAGAGAAAACTACAAGCGAAAGCCTTGACTCTTGAATCCCTGTCCGGACCTCGCAAAGGCGGTCGCCTTTTCTGAGCTCTTCGGCATCAATGAAGGTGTTGATCGGTTTCTGCAGCAGAGCTCTGTAGAGATGGCTGATGAAGCCGGTGTGAGTGTCTTCCCCTCTGAAATTGATGAACACGTCGTATTTCCAACGAACGTCAGAAGAAGAAGAAGCAGCCATTAAACGATCGCAACTGGTCAGCGATGATTGAGCAGCTAAGACTAAGAGTGATGTAAGAACAGAAATACTCAATTGATCTACAAATTGGATCACCGAAAATTGGTCTAGTAGATATGAAGTCAATGAGTCGATGCAAATTAGATCACTCGTTTTCACTTCTTCCAGGAATGGACATAGGAAACTTCACTGTGAAAGGAATCTGTATACTTTGGTTTTGTCCCAAGAAAATGCAAGGGAACATGGGCGGCAAGTGGGCGATTAAAATAAAATATAAAATATAAAAAGCAAAGCAAAATTACACATCCAAGCTTTAATCCAAAGAATTCTCACCTAGTAGTCCAAAGCTAATTGATTACTATTCTGTTAGTCCAAAAACACTCAACTTATCCAACTATTTTACGACATTCTCAAAGATTACTTCTACTACTACTTTACAGGTGAAACATGAAAGGGTAGAGAAAAAAAAAAGGTGATTCACTAGATTCACTACAACTGACATACCGAGTAATCTAACAGTAAGTATCAACTAGACCAATCCCAACGGTATCACAGATCATATGATGAAGCCTTCAGTAAGATAACATTGGAGGTCACCATCATCTTTTCCGAGGAAGCATCATTGAAAAAAAGCTCTCAAATATGATCACCACAATACTAAATTTTTTTGTGATAGGGACTGTCAAGTGTCTTTATATAAATACAATTCCCTTTCTGGAACCCAAGAGTTAATGAATGGTTCACTTGAGCAAGAGACCAAAGTATTTTACCAACCAAGTAACCGTCGTCATAAATTTATATAGTAAACAATTCCCATTGAAAAATTTCGAGACGATCATCAATCCATTGTTTGGAACAATTAAACAGGGAACTTTATAATCATAAAAGCTTTTATCTTTTCGATGAACTGGGGGGAATATCATGGAAGCTTTTTCACATTAAGATAAACTCTTAAATATTTCCCAAGGCTCTTAAAACATTTCAAAGAGATTCCACGAGCTTATATGTCTTAATAGGACCAGACCACTTAGTGGGATAAGGCTTGGTTTTTGTTGTTGTTATTGTCGTCCTAATAAAACAACCAATTTGTTCTAACAAACATAATTGCAAAATTTGCATTTTAATTTTCAACTCGGAAGAAAATTTGGTGTAGGACGGCTTTCTGATTCACATAATACCGTGGAGTGGGGAAATTATGAATCAGCAACAATAGAAACTCGTGAAACATGGCGCCCCACACCCCCACACCCCTTATTTGCAACCAGAACACAGATGCATCCTCATTAAGCATCAGAACAAGAGAGCACTAACAAGAAATGTTCAGAAAAATCATAACATCTCTATATACTAAAACCCAACCACGAGGTACTGTGGATGACCAGTGGGCGGACTGTTTTGCCCCTCTGTTTTATATCGATTTCCCTTGCTGCTCCCCGCGTCCTCATCGTGCAACTTTTCGTTGGATTTTCTTCCTCCTATAGTGTTATACACGTGTTGCTCATCGTGGAAGGGAAGAAACATGGAAAAGCGGGCTCTTCCATTTGCTTCCACAGATTTCTCGAGCTCTCTCTCAAGCTCCGAATCGCTGGCCTCCGCAAGAAGGTATTTGTCTCTCACTTTTTTTTTTCAATTCGAATTTTGTTTGAATGAATGTTGGATCTGTTGCCTTCGGGAAGAAATTTTAACCTAGAAAAGCTTGATTTTCAGGAAATCGCCAATTCGAAAGCTTGGTTTCCTGGTGAGTTCTACGACATATTTGTTGAAATTTATGTGATTTTAATTTTAAAAATCTGGGTTATTTTGTTCAATGGTTTGCTCCATCTTCTTAGCTTTCTCGCTAGAGATCTCTACCAAGGCTGCTCCACCATACTTGCGTCCGCTCTTTCAAACCAGGTACGACTTCTTTCATTTTCTTTTGTTTCTGGGAAAATTTAGGGCTTGAAAATGTGTAGAATTGTAGAAGTTAAAGCCTGTCTCAATCTCTATGTTGGTCTATACACAATGAAATTGAATTTTGTGTTTCAGCATACCCTTACTGGAATTTTATGATTTGGGATAGTGGCGATTTGAAACCGTTAACTGGGATGAGAATTAGAGTGATTTGAAAACGGAGAGCAAGGAATTGCAGGTGGGTAGTGATAAATGATAATGGTGGGGATACTATGATGATAACACAAATTCACTATTTTGCACAGAGTTTTGAAAGTTGATTTCTTTTCTTTTTTCATTTTGATTTTTGATTTTTGTATTTTTGAACAGGTGGTGTTCTGGTTTGTCATTCCTTCTCATCACTTCTACAAGAGGTTAGTTTTCTTTTCTGCATTTAAAGAGTGTTTAAAGAAAAATTGTATGTAATTGATTTTCTGCTATAATGTTTTGAAATTCCTTATTTTACTTGAATGTATTAGTGCTTGCTTTTGCTTTCACCCAGGTATCAAATTCGGTTTTGTTTGTATGGTAACATGGATTGCTCAGGTTACGTAGGAGAGGATGGAGGTGAGAAATACAATTGGGAAAGATATGCTGAGAGGTTTACAAAACACCTTTGAAGCTGTCGGTGAGGATTCTTCTGTTTAGAAGTAGGAATTTTTTAATTTTTGTGGAATCGATGTTTTGTTTTTTGACTGAGTTTATAAAGGATTGCTTGGACAAGTACAGGGTTTGGGATTGAAAGGTTGGGAGAGGCCACATATGGGTTCAGAGAGAATATTTTTTTTTAATCTCTATACATGCAATTCCCTCTACATTAGAGGATATTTTCATATTATTTTGCACATAATTTTATTGAAGGGTTTGTGTATAAAGGTTTCATTAATGGGGATTTCTATGCAATGACTACTTGGGATTGAAAGGTTGTTCCAGCGTTTATTTTAAACTTACTGCAATGACTGTTTGCAAATTTACAAAATTTGTGTTTAATTTCAGTAGCTTGAATGGAAGACACAATTCCAACACCTATCAATCAGGTACAACCGTATAAAAAGGCAACAAAGATTAAAGTCCACGTGTGTAGAATGTGGAGACCGAGAATTTCATGAATGACTAATAAAATTACAAGTCTGCATTGTATACTGGTTGACAAAAGGTGAGCAATCATTATGTAATGATTTTAATTAATAAACCATTAGTTTTGCCCATTGAAAATTGTCGGAATAAGTTAAAGGTAAGGGTCACCAAATCATACTATTTTCGTTGCTATTTATTTCCCTTTGCTGAATTGAATGAATTCTCCATTTGAATCTGCTTCATTTGCATTCTGTTTATGAAATCTCTTCATTTGCATTCTTGCATTTAAATTTGCATGTCAGTTTATGGTAAATAATATTCAATTTTCATTGTCTTAGATTCTACTGAGTTACAGTTTTATCATCTATTTATAAAATCCATTTAGACTCACAATTTTTTTGTGTGGTAAAACATAAACTGAAACATTATGTATATCCAAGATTGAAGAAGAAATTTAAGTTAAATTAGATGGACATCCAATACTACGGGTGATGTTGTCAGGGTTGTAACCATATCAGTAGTCGATTTTATAAATAAAGTGAAATACAAGACTAACCCAACAGGTATTATAAAATAATGTAGAACTACTTTTTTCTCTCTCTCGGTACTCAACATATCATTCCTCACTTGGCCAAAAACGATAGATTATCCCTCATGATGTGCTTTCCATGTTGTTTGAATATTTGTTCATTCAGTGTCAAGTGTTTTCTTTTTGTGTATAAGAATATCTCTCAGGTACTCTCATTTTTTTTTCTTTCCTGTAGGTGGTACAATAGTTCTATCCGATGATGGTCGCTATTTTTCAAAGGATGCTGTGGAATTTCAAGATTGAAAACCGCTGGCTTTCAATCTTTTAAAACAAATTACCTTTGTAAGGTATCAAAACTATAATTTTTCTATAGCAAATAATTTTTTTCCTTCACTATGGTAATTTTGTTTAGATTAATTAATGTTACACTGATACTAACTCAAATTTATACATTGCTATAAGATCAATTTGTAATCCCGCAGCAACGCGCGGGCATTACTAGCTAGTTTTAACTAAAATGGACTAGAAACTAAACTATAAAGTACTGTAATGTACCTTCGGGAGAAAGGAAGCCTCAAGAAAAGATTGGACATTGTGTTGAAAACATCAGGCGTAACGAATTGATAAAGTACCAGTTGCAGAGTTGCAAACCACAGGTTCTTTGTAATAGTATCTGCACAAGGAAAAAAGATCAACTTTTTAATCTTATCTTCACACAATTCTACAACTATTAACCAAACAAATCAAATTACACTTCAACACAAAAACTGCTTTTACAACATTAAAGAACTAAACAACATCAAACAATGAAATCTCCCCACCTCATGACCAATGATCGTCGCTATCTCGGCATCACTTCTAAAATGCTTGAGCAATCCCGTGAAGACAACAATCTTCCCACCCGGCAAGCAAAATGCATTGATAACAGGCCGATCCACTACCAAAACCTCCCAATTCAATTGATCCAAATGTGAAGTGGCAGCTTTCAAACCTCTCTCCGTACTCGTCCTCCTACTCTTCTCAATCCATTGATCATCAAGAATCTCATCCTCACGGGACCAATTCCCCTCCTCCGGAGCGTCCTGCAGTGCCATCAAAGTATCCTTCCCACCACCTTCATGCACTAGCTCCACTTTACCGGACGCATAGTCCACGTCAGTCCAGGTCACCTCATGGCTCAACCCTCTCTGCAAAACCTCAATTATATCCTTGGCAATCAACCGAATCCGCACGCTATCCGGTTGTATGGCGGGCAAAATGTCCCCCTTGAAACTCTCTTTCATTTTCTGGAATTGGGTCTCCCCCAACCTCTTCTCCAAGGCTTTCGACAAAATTATAAAATGGGTTCGCTTCGTGTACGGAATCGTCTCCAAATTCCCAAAATACAGTGATAAAAAACCCAGAACCTACAAGACCCACAATGAAAACGTTCCTGGGATTCTCAAACCACTTCCGGGGGCCTCTCGGCTTGAAGTGGTGAACCCGGATCCGGTCGACATAGTAATATCTCTTAGTGCTATCAAGAAAGGGGCTTTTGTACTGTGTTGTTCTTGTCATTCTACCAAGTTGTGGAATTGATTGGTGTCAAATTGAAGAACTGGAGGAAAACCCAGAAAACTTAGCTGTGCTGGATGCAAGAAGAAGAACCAGTTGAAAAAACGCGAGAGATGGGCTCTCTGCCGGCGGCTTTGGGGGCAATCCTCGCTGTGAAGCCGCGGAAGGCGTCGAGTGCGAGCTTTGCTCTTCTGTAGGATCCCATCACGGATTGGGTGTATCATACAAACGAGAGAGATGAAGGTTTTCTTTACAAAGATTTGAAATCTTGGAGAGAAATAGGTTTTGGATCGGCGGGTTTTGTGGGTTTAAGCTTTGGGATGAGCGGGAACTAGGAACTTGAGAAGAAGCTAGGACTCTCCATGTTGCCGCGACAAAGGGCTACAAGAAGGAAATGCGGTGAGAGGGTGCCAAAACGACGACGTTAACGTCTCATAATATAGTTTACTCGTGTAGCACTGCACGTGTACCTTAGGCCATTTGATTTCGGCGGTTTATAATCGGCTTTTGTATTTGAGTTTTTGCCAATTTTCTTTGTATTCTACTTCAAACATATTTAGTTTAGAATATTACTTTGTCAAAATTTTAACGTAAGACCAAATAGTTATTAATACTAGTAAAAAAAAAACATAAAATGAATCACCTACAAACATGTAAGACAATGTAAAAATTGTCGCATATGATAATAAATTATGGTTTTGAAATATTTACAATATCACGTCTCTTCTTAATGATACAATGTCACATTGCACCGTTTTCATCAGTTGCTAGCATCAAACGCTTCACTAGCTCAACCTTTTCTTTAGACAACATCTAGCATGTACACAATCGTATGTCGATACTCCAATACGGCAACCTTCCGATAATTGGTTGTAGTTCTACAGTTGTACATTCAGCGTATGCGATTACACGTAAGGAATACAATTTTATAATAGCATTTGTGCATGCATGATTATATCGGCACCCTAAAGTAAACTTACAGCAGAAATAGCATTAGAAGAAAAGAAACGAACACTTGTCTTTCTCACTAGTAAATAGAAAAGTTACAAAAATTAGATGGTGTTCTTACACTCCAAATAAGTGCTCTTACACTATTAAGGGCATAAAGAAAACAGAAAAACAAAACTGAACAAAATTGAACAATAAAGTAGAGAAAAGGGTCGGCGGAATACGCTATACGCATAAAAAATGATATCGTTATAACGAGCCAAACGGGGCCCACAATAGCTTTTAGTACCTACACTAAGATCAACTGGCGTTTAGTACCTACACTACACCAGTTGAAACCACTGTGAATGCAACCTTTTGATATTATTTGTTGCCCACAACAGCTTACTTGAAAGGAGCCGGTTTATATCGCGCGTCACCATCTGTTGGCGCGACCTCTCCCACCACCACTACCACCAGCAGATCGGTTGTTGGAATACCTATCATTTCGAAAACCTCCTCCACGACCACCGCCTAACCTTCCACCACCGCCAAATCTTGTATTCCTTGATTCTTTTTCTTGTAAATCAGGCAGTGATTTCAACACCGTTATGCTCACATTAGCTGCATTTTCCTGACCTGCACCCAACATAATACGACCACAACAATCAGACTTCAAGACATCAATACAACAAAATGAATGATACGTTCCATCTGTAGAGATGGCTGATGAAGCCGTTGTGAGTGTCTTCCCCTCTGAAATTGATGAACACATCGTATTTCCAACGAACGTCAGAAGAAGAAGAAGCAGCCATTAATCGTTCGCACCTGATCAGCGATGATCGAGCAGCTAAGATTAAGAGGAATGCAAGAGCAGAAATACTCAATTGATCTACAAACTGGATCACTAGAAAATGACCTGATCTATACCAAGTCAATGAGTCAAAGCAAATTAGTTCACTCATTTTTTAAATTTATGATTGCGCAAAAAGAACAAAAGAAAGTTATATATTTTCACATCTTCTTCCAAGAAAGAGCTGTCTCGGTCAAAGAGATACTCAGATTGGACTTAGGCTGGTTTGGTATTACTGTGCTTTGAAAAAAAACTGTTGTGAGAATAAGCGACTATGCTATGAGAATAAGCAGCTGTGAAATAAATCAGCAGAGTGTTTGGTAAACTTTTTTGTAAAAGTGATTTTGGAAAAAAAAGCAGTCTGATAGTGAGTTTTTTCATTAAAGGAGCACTGTAGCTCCGTGTGCTTTGAAAAAAAATCAGTTTTCCAAAGCTGCAAATAGCAGCTTCAGCTTTTTCCTTCGATTTCAGTTTATTCTCACAGCAGCTTCCAAAATAAGCCATTTTTTTTTCAGTTTACCAAACACCTAAAATCCTCACAGCTTTTTTTCATGGATGTTTTTTTTTTAAGCACCTCACTCCCAAACCCAACCTTAGTGGAGTGTGCCAAAATGCACACTGAATTGTTGATAATTTACCGAAAAGTCACATTCCATTTTACTTTTCATACGTCTTTTAATTTTTGACCGTTGGATCGAAGAAAATGTGAAGAAAATCAATAGATATAAATTAACAGAGAGTGTGTGAGAAGTAAAATGGAATGTGTGGAGCCTTTACCAAAAGTTTCTGATCTTAATCACGTGAAGTTTCTTAGTGAGCGTGCTAAAACGCGCACCTACACTCGTTTTCAAATATATCATTACGCAAAAAGACAAAAGAAAATTATGCTTTAGGTGCTTTCACATATTCTTCCAAGAAATTTCGGAGTAAAAAGAATCTTCGTACTTTGGTTTTATTTACCGAAGGAAACGCTAAGGTCTCATTTGGCAGTTCAGACTGTACTGATTATTTTTGTCGAATATGATTAATAGTCACCTGATAGAACTGATTAAATTAGTTGGACGTTTAGTGCAGTATCGAACTAATAACTGTATTATTTATACTATGTTTGGTTTTATACCGGATAAGAGGAATCAAACTTAAAAAAAAAATTAAACTAAAAAAAAAAAAATGAATCCATCACTTTTGTTCCCAGTTCTCTCCGCCGCACCCCTCAAACTCCCTCCCTCTCTCCCCCTTCTTCTTCTTCCCCGACTGTAGAAGAATCTCAAATTGAAATCATCTCTCCGCCGCACCATGCTTCTTTGCAAGACCCAGTTGCAGGGGAGGACGGCAAGTAGGCGATGAGGAAGGCCACAAGGAGAGGACGACGAGGAAGGCAACAAGGACTAGGAGAGTAGAGATGGCGAGAGAAAGCGACGGCGATAGAAAGCGATGGGGAGGATGGCGATGGTGAGAGAATGTGACAGGGAGTACAACGACGTCGAGAGAAGGCAAGAGAGAGAGAGGGCTGACTAATAATCCGAGCCTTTTGATTGGTTTTATTAGTCCAGCGTATACCGTATTAAATAAGCAGATCGGTTAATTTAATCTGCCGCTTATTTAGTACGAGTGAACGCCAAACACCTGCATTTGTATAACTAGTCCTATCCGATCCTTTATAATATCTGCCAAACAAGGCCTAAGAAATGTTGGGCACTGGGTCAAAGTACCCGGCTAAGTGTACACTTGCCTACCTAACAACACTTGCATACTCGGTCAAAGAGATGTTCAGATTATAACTTAGTGGAGTAGGCTAAAATGGACAATGAAACTGGTGTTAGTTGGGAATGTATAGGCCTAAGGCCCACGAGCGTGTCCGACCGTAATTCCCTCGTCTTCTCTTGATAATTTCAGTTGCAACATATTTAAAATAACTTTTTGATACGAGTGAGGATCCTCGCCGTATCCTCTTTGTGAGAATTATGGGGATCTTCAAATTACATTGGTTCATCGTATATCATGCGATCAGAAATTATTATAAATTTTTTAATTAAAATTGAATATAAACAGTACCAAA